TTTTATAAAAAATAACAAAAGGGAACTTATTACTCCCGTGTACCAATCCCCCAAGCAACTGTGCATTCTTCAGTCGTAGACCGAGCCTTGGGTTTGCCTGACATTCGATACCCTGCAGACATAAGCGCAAGGGCAGTCAGCCATGATATCCCGTTCCCATCCCCTCAAGCATCCCGCCGAACATAATATCTGGCCCCTTTTCGATATCCCCGAGAACTCACATAGATCCATGATATGGTTTCTGCAAATGGCACAGTTATCCACGACGATATCCCACGCCCACAGCGCAACTGCATTCCACTATCACAGGGAAGCAAACACTTAGCAATTGCAATCGGGAAAACGGAACAGAACATATCCTGAGGGCAAAGTAAATCTATAAAAACATACTTTTTTCACTTCAAAACGTTTCTTTGCATCTCCTTTGGCATCCCCAAGAGCTGATTTTCCTCCTCGAGCGACAGCTTTCGATTTCCCAGAAGCACCACGCGCAGAATCTTTCATTTCAACGTCTGCCATGATTGGGGAGACTCGGATACCTCTCTTCTCCCTACTGCTAATATTATATATAAGCTGAAGGTATAAAGAGGGAGCAAGGCGGGCGTTGATATATGATGCTGGCGTCTCAAAGCCGGGGGGTACAGTCAAGCAAAATGGAGAGCTCTTGCCGGTTGTTGCTGGCACCTTTGGCGGGCGACCCACGTTGGTCAAAATAGATGAGTAACTGCTGGTGGATGATTTAGTGCCGAAGGAAAGTAGCAGTGTTCTTCCAGAGCTCGCGTGCTTCCAGGAAATGTAACAGGTTGGTCACCCCGCAAGACTCCGAGCTCAAGTTGAATGTGAATGTGGCTTACACAAAGTTGAACCTGGGTAGAAATGGAAAATCAACTTTGCTAGCCGGGAACAGTTTAGCTTCTTTCCTATCTTTTGAAATCTTGCAACTCTGGACACTGTAATTAACTATTCTTTCCTTAGTTATATAGATGTAATATATACTAATTATTGTCGGTCATTTAGAAGGATATCTAGTTGATATTCTCTGCTGATGGGTGCTGCTAATAAGTTCATGTGTCTCTTGATCAAATCCATCAATTTTTATCAAGGACTTCTTTTAGCTCTTAATAACGATAAAAGATTAAATTTCAAATATATAAGTTGTAGTAAAAGCTAACTATATAATATCCTTTATTTCGCTCTTGATGGAGGCGCAAGGTTGGTTCATTGTAACTATCTCAAGTCCTTGCCACGAAGACCCAAACACCATATGATAACTGGCCTGGACATTTTGTATACAAATCTTGCGTGGTTATCCCATCAAACCCCGTTCCCACTCCCATTACTTCATTGAAATAATTCCTTTATCCCCTAACTTACTTTCAACTATCATCATCATGTTCATCTATCTTCTTGTCCCTATCCTCCCTAGAAACAGTCTACAATATCCTGCTTTTTAAGCCCAAAACCTCGGGAATCGATTGTTCATTCCCCGTCCACATTTGGGTAGCTTAGTCGATTCTTTTCGAAGGATTTGCGGCAAACCTCATAGATAGAGGGCAGGGTAGACTCTTGGCAGTTGATAGGATGATAATATTGAATAGAGAGAGGATTGATCGTGTATGCTAGATGAAGGATGATGGTGAGGATGATCGATCACGTTGGATGGATGGCTTCTGTTGATATTTGAGGTAAACACCCCTTCAACTAGAAGTCACACTTTGACCTTGTTACCTGCAACTTACGCAGGTAACGCGGTAAAGAGGGGTGGTGCAATATCAGAGGCAGTAGGCTTACCAGGGGCATTGCATGCATCATCATTGCAACAAAAAAAAAAAAAAAAAAAAAAACAACTTAGAAGACAGCTGGCCTCTTCAAGGCACTTAATCTGCTCTAAAACTAACAATAATCATCACCGCTATTGTACGGAGTAGAGAACACGGAATCAACCACTAGGCTAAAACCTTTTAAGCATTTGATGGCACTGAAGCACCAAAGGGCCCATAATCAGATGGAGGAGGAAGGTTAAGTTGATGCCATGACCACCGATTTAAGCAGTGCTGCACCCGCTAGATAGTGTGGGATAATCTGTTTCCGAAGCTAGCTAACCATTAGGCCACCGGGGCAAAAGACGAATCACCCAATCCAATCCCTCCAGCATTGACTGTGGGTGTGGGGTTTATCACGTCTGGGCCGGTCGCCCAACAAAAGGTGTTTAAATTTTATTCTTTATTTTTGTTGGCATCTCTAACTATCACTCATTAGAAATTATATAGTTTATCTCTATTTAAATAGCATTGCATTCATTAGGTAGTTATAGCAAATCAACTTTTTATCTCCATCAATTTTCTCAGAAACAAGCGTCTAGATAGTGAAGTGAGCGAAGTGGTGGTGAATCTCGAGCGGAAGCAACTCCTTGACAATGATTCGCTGGGGTGATTCTGCAGGTTGCTCGGGGTCCAGTCTGACCTGACCTGGCCCACAAAAAAAGGGTAAGCTGAGTTGAATACTTCTACGGAGTATAGGATAAAACACAATATAATACAAGGTTATAAATTAATATTTATTTATAGATTGCAATATCGTATAAAATATAAAAATACAGCGTTCAACTGAGCCTTTTACTAGTGAGAGAAATTGCACAGTCACATTACTTTTCTTGGCATGGGTCAGTTCCAGCCCGTTGACATAAGCAAGCTCTACAGAATTCAAGGCCATCAGGATTGACTGTGAAAGCATCTGCATGACACTATTCATTCTGATGCCTTTTCCTCTCCCAAAGCATGTATGTGCTGAATCACTGAAACTACTACATCTGTGGTCACAAAGTCCCGTGGAAGAATCAGCAGCAGATATTCGGGATGATTCAGTGGCTTTGTCCAACAAATGAGGTCAAGGAGTGAAGAGATCAAAAGAAGAAAGTTCACTGACAGGTTGCAGTTACATAGCGTATTGATCAATCTCACTATGCATCTGATATGTTCCGTGAGGAGACTCAACTGCTGATATTCAGCTATCCACCCGCCCTTTGCTCTTCCCAGTCGATGAAGTTCGGCAACTTCAGTTGCAGACTCTGGGATGAGTACGAGGAACTCACCTCCCGAGCGCTCACAGTTTAGGGCGAGAGGCTTTACATCTGTAAATGTACATGCATGTAAGTCTGAGAATAGAATGAAGTAAGATGGTTACAAACTATCTGTTAGGCCACTAGGGCAAAGAGCTCTCTCACACCAGCACCATGCTGGTAGAAGAGGGGACGAACCAATCCAGACCCCCAACACTATCTAAGCTAGGTAGCTTGTGATTCTTGCTGGCTGATCGGCTCCCATAGCGAGTTCCGTGGTTATCGCGCAGCATTAATTCCAAGAGTCTACCATACAAATAATATGGAAAGATCTTTTGAATCTTTAGTGATTAGCAGCTCCTACGTGAGAAAGTAATTAACTTTTCGGAACAAACTACAGCCTCAGGAAATTGGCCGGCGAAATAGCCCATTATCAGAGACTTCTCCCGATTCGCCTGTCATTTGTGTAGATGAGATTTTTCGCCCATCCTATATACAGCATAATATCCCTGCCTATAAAACTTAAATTCGACGTCTAGCCTGCTAATAACGGGGGCCGAGATAGTCTTTCGACATAATATCCTTCTTTTCGGAGCTATTTCATTTATTCTACACAACTCAAACTATCCATTACTCTCCATGGGTGAAGTAACAGACTTTCACAGATCCCTACTCATACAGACCAAGGGCCTGAGAATTTCTTCAACGTGACATTGCTGTTGCATTCAAGACTTAGCGCGCAAAATTTCGCCCACGCCAGTATGGGGAGCTGGCGGGTGGTTATACTACAAGTACCCTCGACTGATGATGGCTACCTCAATGGGAGTTGAAAGTCAAATCACCTTGATCCCACCTTGCCTTCATCAATATCAACAATTCAGCAACTTCCGGTAACATGTTTTTCACAGTTGTCCTCAAATATGCTGCCCTTCTCATGACTACCAGTGCCGCTTCACTGCCGGCTACCATCCCTGGATTCGAGGCTGGGGTCCGCACTGTATGCTTCGATGAGACTCCCAACCTACATTGCTACTCAGGAGAAAACGACATCCCTCAGAATGTCGACCCAGAAGACGTTAGCTTTATAGCAAGCTATCTGCGCGCCTACGGCCGGCAGACTAGAATTGGTAGATGTATGTGCTAATAAATCCTGTTATTTACATACTTAGGGCACGATTGTGCCCAACGGGAATGCCAGAGATGTCAATCGCAGCAGACTGCTAACCTGTTTATCAATAGTGTTCACCATGAAGGCGGCCGATGCGTCTGACTGTGGAGAATGGGCTCTGTATGCACGTGGCACAGCGGCAGCCTACGCCAAAAAGACCAACATGACATATGACTCCTCAGTCCTCTTTTCTGATATTGCAGACACAATCGACGGTGGCAAGAAGTCAGAGGCTGACAGCCTCCTCAAGTGTCAAGCGGATGGTGGCTCTTTTGGTACACAAATTGCAGATGTAGCTGCTCCAGCATATGTGACTCCAGAATATGTTGAGGCAGGTTTCAAGCCTGATGGCATTCTCATAAAGATTGTTTCAAACAAAGAGCTTTAGTGGGATTTCTCTTATATCGATGTGTGGGAGTGAAAACTTTGCTCAGGTTGCTTGAATGGGTGGCTTCGATTGGAATTAGCACTCTAGGTGTCAAAGACATTTATCTCATTGAAGAAGATTTAAGTTACGATCATATTTAGCTCCATAGAGTGGTGAAAATATCATTGATAAGTTTTGGGACGGTGGACGCAAGATTGTAAAATCGATTGGTTAGAATCCTCATCTGTGTGAATCTTCTTCTGTGCAAATCTTCATCTGTGCAACACGTTAAATATCAATTTTGGCTCTGATTTGTTCCATATTTTTGCCGTCTTGATTGCTTACTCGTTTGCTTCGCTTCCCCTTGTTTGATCATTGTTTGCTTCGGATATTTGATTCCGGCCCATGAGCTCCATTAATATCGCCTATCATATTCCAGCCCACGGTCTATCTTGCGTATGTCCATGATATGGTATTTTCTTTGTGCATGTTCCTCTGTCTGCTCTTCCCCCTCATTTCTTTGTCTCTCTCTCTCTCACCTTTGTTTTCCTTCGAATCGTTTCAATTTGCCTATTTTGTCTACCTGTGGAGGGAAGTATAAAAACCTCACCGGTTCTGGACATCTATATCTATATTCTTAAACTGTAATAAATCATACTTCGCAAGTCAGCTTGAGATATGCATCTGAACAGAAGCCCTGTCACTATTTCAGATTCGCAGTTCTCGCAAGAACGCGGCCCGATGCACACTACCCTTCAGCGTCCAGCCATCGTCATCCCTCGTCTCATCAATTATGCTATTCCACCCTTCACGCTGGGCAAGCATGAAGCGGCGCCCGCGCTGCAGGACTGCGCCGGCACGTACCAGATATTGGCTTGCTGAGGGACCGATGAGGTTCAGCGCCGCAAGACCATTCATTCTGCGCCACACCAACTGCGGCACCGGCTTCTCTGAATTCGGCGGCGGACTCCAAGATATGGACGCATAGATGGGGGTGTTTGAGTAAGGCGTGCAGGGGGGAGGCGCCTGCCGTGCCACCGCCAGTTATGGCGATTCGGATTGGAGTAAACATGATAAAATATTATGTCTAGCTAATTAACTCGCTGGTATTTGGTTTTTTTGGTGTATAGATCGATAAAAAGAAACTATACGGAGAGATCACTCTGGGACTCCTTCCACGGGCTGTACGTGGATTTCTCATGACCATCTTGAGTACAGGCAAACCCCCCATGTCCCTCAATATCAGGGCATGGAAAGTAAGTTATAGTTACAGGATGTGCTTAGGAATGCATGACTAAATACTCCGAAGAGCATCCCTCAAAATCCATGCACCACGCGATATTTCTAGATATGTCTATGCTTTCTTAGTGAAGTTGAATGGAGATATCTGCATACAGGTCCTGGGTTTGTCGACCCAGAATCCTGATAAGCGATTTTCTCTCTCCAATTACTTAACAGGACAATATTGGAAATACTCACGTCGGTGATTGACAACTTTGATCTTGTTTTTACATCCTCTTCACTATAATGACCCTCTTCAAGGCTGTAATGGTTCTACATTCGATACCGCGTCAGGTGAGATTCCAGAACCAGAGAGGTGAAAGACAGGCGATCAGGGACCCGGGTACGTGTTGAAGTGGATCTTCGGTGTAGAGTTTGATAAGCACAGCGGTTAGGATGAATGTTGAGATTATCGGGCTGTCTGTGCTGATGAACGGCGGATTTGATAGATAATTTTGCAGTGTTGCGAGGACGGCCGTTGTAGGCATTAGGAGGGTTGATGTAAAGTATGAATATATAGGGGGGGGACACTTCAATCTTCTTAAATAGCGACATATGTACTGCAAAGCAAGACAGCTTTGGCGAGGGGAATTTCGTTTGTTAGGTTTTTGAAGATGGGGGAGGGAAGTGCCCCAGGTTGGTTTTCACCAAGTTATGACTGTTCTATCCAGCCTTTTCATCCATCTTCTCTGACCATCAAAGCTGGGTAGATGATGCTGCGTGTCGCACATTCCTGCCGTTGTGTTAGTAGCTCTATAGTCTTTGTAACGAGACATAAGTTCGATAGAACATCCATGCTCTGTCTGATTAAGCCTGATAGTTAAGCATAACTTACCGACTGACCTAAAATATATTATATGGAGTTATCCACGCCCCTAGATCCTTAGTCCAGTATCAGCAATGGTGGACACAAAATAGAAAACCCAATTTCTGTATCCGGTATTGAGTTTGCAACTCTTGTTATTGCATTTCCTGTTATGAAACCAATAGATATCATCAGTTGATATCATTCATTCAAGCAGGTCAGTACATAGATATGCAGATAAGGGGGGCAGGTAGTCAGCTAATATTAGCTAGCATTGATAGATAGATGAGTAACTAGATGGTGATGCTTATTCTTATAGAGATTAATTGAGTATTGAGCAGGCAGGTTGGTTGATAGATAGAGAGATAGGTAGATAGCTAGTTATCTAGTTAGAATTCTATATTCCATTAGCAATCAATCGAATATCAAGCAGGTAGGTAGAGAGAGAGATACCAGCATTTTCAATTATATTAGCAATTGATTGGATATAGAGTAGATAGATAGGTAGGTAGGTAGGTAGGCAGGAAGGTAGATAATTTAGGGGTTAGAATAGAGGTATCTATGTGTTGAACTCAAGTCTTCACTGCATAATATAAAAGTGGGAATTATTCAGTATGTACGAAGTAGACCAATCAGAGTTGCAAAAATCTCCTCTAAACCAATAAAATCATTGAGATTCAAGTCACATTTTTTTAAACATTGATGTTCAATCATTTCAGCCGCAAAAATGATGCAACTTTTGTTCCTCCTCTCAAGAGCTTTGTATGATTCTGAGAGACTTGGGTAGGACGGCTTCGCTCTGTCTATTAAAAAGACATTAGTTAATTTTCAAACCTAGGATCTACTGTAGAAGCATGAGTAAGGACTGCATGCAGCCGAGTTAGCTATCGACATCGTAAAACTTAAGGTGAACACAGCATCTCATTCTGTTTGAGTTGGCTTTCATTACTTACTTTTATGGGGAGTGGGAAAAACACAGCAGACCATGTTCAATGTGTCAGAAATTGCTGTTGGCCTAGGCTATGTATTGTATAAAAACCAATGGGTGATATAAATAGCCATCAACAAAGCAACTACCTGCATTCTCATTACTAGACTAAGAGCGCTTATTTTGCCCATTCTGCCCAAAGCTCATCACAATAGCGGTGTATCACTCTTGAGGTAGTTTGGACTGTAGCTTGCTCTCTCTCCAGTACCATCCAAATGCGAAGGCAGCACCTGGGCCAACAAAAGCAGTAAAAATGGGGAGAGCCGCAACCGGGACAAGCCATTCTCTTCGTCTGATTAGGCCGGCACAGTGGAGATCAAAGAACAGATACCCAAGCCATAGGAAAGAAGTCCCGAATACAACAACCTCGTCATACTGCAGGGCACGTCGCATGTGGGGGACAAATTCAGATTGGGCAGAGCTGCCAGGTATAAATACTGTTGATAAGGGGTATGGACAGTTCACGAGCGTGTATACCCAGACTCCGCCCGAGATGATACTCATGAGGCACAAAAGAAGTTTTGGAGATATAAGCCACTTGATAGTTGTGGCTCTGAGAGAGGGAGAAGTGCCAATTAACTTGGAAATCACGAAGTTGGCTATGCCCACCCAAAGAGGGCTCATTTGCCACGCCCATGTCCAGTAATGCCGCGTGGTAGGCTGGGGAGCCAGATATGCCGCGAACACCTCACAAGTATGAAGAAGAAGGAGAATCGGAAGTAGTGTCACGTTGTGCTCAGGAGCCAGTCTCTTCTTCAAAGGGAGCTGGATGAGAGCCGAGGTTGAGGGCCCGAAAGTGAAGCAGAGAAAATAGAACAACGGCGCAACGGACCCGAGGCCCAAAAGCTGACCCGCAAAAACAAATATGGTCGGGCTGGTGTCGATTTGTTAGCGTTACTCATCCCATTTTCTCGATGATAGTTACTCGGAAAATAGTAACTAACTATTTTGGACCCACAAATATGCTGGTGTCCACGCATTACCCACGCGGCTTGACTCCAGAAGCCACACAACATATACAGTCCCCAGATCATTCAGAAACGAAAACATCTGCCATGAGCTCACGACATCATAGCCGAGAGTCGATGGAGAGAAGGACACCGTGGTCCCGCGCCATAGTTCGTTGAGGAATTCCACGTAGTGAAAATGGGAGAGAATGGGGATGGACCCGTTGCTCCATTTAATCTTCCCAGACCTCAAGAACGGCTGCTGATGGGCGACCATTTTTCCAATGTCCATCGCTTGAAGACAGAGCAGCGTGAGGCCGAGAAAAGGTAGGGCCAGAATTGCCCGCTGCCGTTTGGAAGGTGTCGATGGCATGGTAGAACTATGTAGAAACGAGTAAGGTACGCCGTAACTATGGGAGGGCTGAAGGTTGGAATGGGTGACATTAAAAGATGGAAGTCAGGTTTTCTAAAAGGAGCGAGTGGTTTAGAACACCACCGGAGATAACGGTTGGAACTATCCAACCCTGCAGTTTCTGTAACGATTTCCCGGGTTGGAGCTTTAACGGTTATTTACTCAAAGTCCCCGACTTCGGGCACCACAGTAACCAACCTCAAGCCTGGTAACCCCCGGAGTGAAGATGTATGGCAGAACGTATCATTTGATAGTGTCGACATGACATGATTTATATGCAGCGGTGGCTTGAACTGCTAAGTATATCAAGGGACCGCGGAACAGCAACAGTTATTATTTACCTTGGACCTTGGTCAAGAAGAATGCTCTCTTGGCGCAGTGATCTGGGCTGGATCAAATCCTTGATTAAGTTCGTTGGCATCATTTACGGCATTGAGTTTGTTGTCCCTGCCCCTAGTGTTGAGCGTGAACGGGTTTTTTTGTCACGAAATCATCAGGGAGCATGAATGTTGCTGGATAGCTCGATGTCCTTGACGTGCATTTGGCTGTTCTCACATCCAATAACTTGCAGAGTAATCCTTGAGAAAGTTTGTATGTTCTTTGCGTACCACCAGGCAATAAATGGCAATAAAGGGCACGCATCAATCTTTTGTGAGAGGCGGCAGAATGGTATCTTATGAAACTAAGCAGCACCAAATATTATTTAAATGCAACTAATGGGAGAAAAGGGTTCCCTACGAGACTAAAACGCACCAGATATTATTTGATGGCAGTAAATGGCCCGTTGTCGGAGATAATATCTCACATATCAAGGTATCTGAGACCTGAGCACTGCCCCGCTGAATCTCAGCGCTGCCCCTCTCATATGATCAAGCATTCTCTTCCTTATAAATACTGCCTAGTTATCATGTAATTATCAGAGTTAGAATAGTTAGTCAATTCAATTATCTATCGATATTCAGTATTTGGGTCAATATTCGGACGTTATTGTGGGATGTAATGGGGACTTAACGTGATCACCCTAACGATCATATTGACAAAATTATCCACCGATGGAGGTGGAAGGTTGGTTCATTGTAAGTAACTAGCGGGCGTAGCACTGTTTAAATAGGTGTGGTCCTGTGGCATTCTAGTGAGCAATAGGGATGCCAACATCCACTCCATATATCAATCATTTATAATTATATTTAATTTTTATTGGTAATCTATAATCTACTATCAAATCTAACTATTATGAAAAATTTATAATACAAAAAAGTACATTAATCATTGTAGATTATATATGTAAAAGGTTCCAAGTATTTCTTTATACAAATTTATATGAGGGGTATTTGAATTACTAGTTTTATTTTTAACTTTCCTATGAGAAAAATGCTGGTTTTGTAATATATAAATAACTTTCTTAATACTTAGTCTTTTTTATATATAAATCAGAACTTAAGCTACTTATTTAGTTCTCTAATAGTGATTAAATTTTTACGAAAAAATCTCATATAGTTCTGGCAATGATAATACAGTAATCTGAATATATCATGTGTAATTTTTATGTGTAATTTATTTAGAAAATCAACATCTAATACAGTTTATTAACTCAACACATAATATAGATTTTTAATATCTAGAAATTCGATAATCTACTATGTAGATATGCATACATAAATTACATATTATATATAAATTTGATATTATCATTGTTGAGAATTATGTATCTAAGGATTCTTCATTTAGTATGCAAAACCTCGATCCGTTGGGGTGGGAGTGATTGATCGTTTTGTGGGTGATAGTTACATAACGTTAACTAATGAATCAATTTTGATACCTTCCTTTGCGAAGAACTCCGGACCTAACCACATGCCTCCCCCCACAAGAACTTTATATTTCAGTGCATACATGGGGATTGTTATTAAGATATACCATTTGAAATTAATATCCCAGAATAAGAGTAGTCAAAACTCCTTTGCTTTGCCATAGCAACTACTATAGTTTTGGGCAGGACGGTTAGTTCTCGTAATAATACATATGGAAACGAAGCACAGAGGAACAGCCATCTAGATCATGCGCGGGACAGAAGGGGGATTTCCTTGTGCGCTGGCGCTGATTTTTCTGGAAAACGAGCGGCTTTGGGATGGTGGCAAGCGAGGCCACCCGCCATCAGCCTGCAGATGGCGAAAAGACATACAGATTGGATGCAGGTAGAAAATGAGCATGTAAGGGAAGGGGATACGCAACGTGAGTCAGATCAAAGATGCGACGATATCTGTCGATAAAGGAGGGGTAATGCGGATATTCCTCATCTGGCCCCGTATGCTGTACATGTACATACATAAAACGTGACGGGGACGGAGAACAACGACTGGACGACGGTCTTAGTTGACCTTCAGCATTAGCAACCCTGGCGCGAAACCTCAGCCAGTCACTGAAGCTGGTGACGCTGGAAGCAGAGGAGTAGGTAAGTAGTTGGGTGGTTGAAGCAGTCATCCAAGGGCGTTGTTGGCGTTGTTCTCTCTCTCGCAATGTGGCATACAGGGAAGAAAGTGCCTTGGAAGTCCTGTAGAGAAATACATCTAATAGGCTATTAAATAATGCCAATTGGTAGACCCCTGGACCAGCACACAATTGCACCTACGCAATTACGTGCATCTAAACTTCTCAACCTTTGTCGCGAAAGCCAGCAGGGTATCCGCGGGCGGGCGGCTGGAAAACTCTAAAATCCCACCTTGACGGTACTCAGGGTAGTCGCCTGGAGATAATATATAAGATTGACTAGGACAATAGTCTAGAACGAGCAGGCTGAGGGGCATGGGCATATGTGAGCGCTATTACTGTCCTCGATGGGGAGGGTACGAGGTTTGTCAAGATTACTCTGCGAATGGCAGTTTTATGCCGAAACGGTACGGTAGTTGAGGTCTTGTATGTTCCCTGCATTCTCAAACAAGGAGGTGGCGTGGGATGTGGTACCTTGAGAGCTACAGAGGGAATTCAAGCCTCTAGCGATATCTGCATCATCAAAAATAATTAAATAAAATGAAAAATAAAAATGAAATGAAATTAAAGAAAGATGGAAATGAAATGGAAATGGAAATGAGGGGAAAAAGAAGATTGACAAATGAATGAGAAGGGGCCATTTTCATGCGGGTAAAAATGCTCCCTGACGTTGATGGTGAATTCAAGCCTGAAGATTGGCTACTCAACGGTTCGTAGTTGCAACCATACATTCAAATGCTATTTATTAACTTTGTAGACGGCGGGTGGGACAGGCGGGACGAAGTGCTACAGGAGAGCAGAGCAGTTATCTATTCTTAGTGAACAAGCTGCAGCAGATTCGTGCCTTGCTACAATCTGCATGTTCCGGTGGGGTTTGCATCTCTTGATACTGGAGAAGCCCATTTCATTTTCTGGTTGTCAGAGATGGGGACGGTACAAAGTGCACACTGGGGTGATGAATGGAATGCTGAAGGGCATGCAAAAATAGGACGAACGGAATCAAGGATCGCCATGCATGGACTATGAAGATATTCGGTGGATGGGTTGGCGGGGTAAGTTAACATGGATTCGGCGCGGGCAGCTGAGATCTATCTGAATATTGGGCCACGGAGGGGTTCATGTCTCTCTGGGCAGACATCGCGACCATCCAAGTTGCTCTCGATGTTGCGAACTCTCCCAGCGACGGTGGTGAGCTGAAAGCTGTGCGCCGTACTATGTAAGGAGGTTGCAACCTTAATTATCGGATTCTAGGCCCGGATGACTAACTCGCTTGGGGTTGACCTCCAGCGCCGCCAAGCCCGAAAAAAGTCTGCTCAACCTCAGACATCTCGCCCCAGCTCTCCTGTATCCAACTACAACCTCCATCCTTCTTGATCCCACCTCGACGCTCAGACCAGCCCGCTTCGTGGCCGTATACCACCCAATATCCGGTTTTCCTGTTTCTGCCTTCTGGCCGTGTGTGTTTGTGTGTCTCTTTCCCTCGAGCTTTCCCTCTCCAGATCAGCGCTCAAGACAGTGTCTTCACTTCATTGAGGCCGTCAGCCAACAGCGATCCCCTCTCCCCTCTGCCGTACTTTCCAACCCAGCGACCCTGGAGTCACTGAACTCCTCTTCTTCAACCACAGTCAAGTTGGCGGGGCTCAACTACACCAACTTCTCCTTCATCCACCCTCTCCTGGGCCCGAAATTCCGGGTCTTCTCTGGGGGCGACACTCGGCCTCCATAACTAGTCTTTTTTGATCACATCAAGGACCCCTATCTATAGATCTAATTATATATATATATATATATATATATATATACATATCTACATATATACATATTTACATAAAGCGCAACACGGAACAACCAAGCCCTATCGCCCGTGGGCTGGGCAGGAGGAAATTGGGGCTCCCGTACTCCTGTGTGGTTTCCGGCCCCCCCGCCCACCCGCCAGATTCGTCTTCCAGTTGTGGCAGAGTCAACGCCGAGTGAGTCGCTTTCGGGCGTCTCACCCCCCAACAAACTCCACACGTCGTGTGAAAGTCATTTCGAGGAGAAAAAGAGGATAATCAACAAACCTGGCCTTTTCAATCGATATTCCCAGGGTGGTTCCACTCATTCGCCATGAGTGAGTCGCCAAGATCAGATAAGGGCGGGACCCGATTCAGCACTCCTGTCCCAGAGCTTGATGATCACCGCTTCCAGCCAGAGTCTCTCCCTAGGGCGGACACCGCCGCTGACAATGTGCTGAGCTGGCAGGACAAGTTGCTGCAGGCGCGCCAAGCGCAAGAAGGTGGAAGTCCAATGCCACGCCGTGTTAATGATACGTTTCACCTCGAAGTGGGACCAATATCCAGGGACTTCGAGAATGCGATTGCCGACGATGAACTTAGTGCCAATGGTGACAGACGGCGCTCATCTGTGAACCCTATGGCGCCGGTTCGACCGAGCCTCCAGAGACCTAATCTCACCTTGCATGATCTCCCGACTCGGTCTCGAGCCTCATCGGCATCGGGTAAGTCCAGTTCGCCTCCAAATTCTGTCGAAGCATTTGCCGAGCCGCGTCGCCGTGAACGTGCGAATACTATGGAGAGTCATGCGCCGTTGGACTTGGATATCGTTCTCCAGAAGACCATGTCCACTGGCACCAATCAACGTCGCCCGACCTTCAGCAACACGAGCGCAATTGGCGCAGATACCGTGGATCCGAGAACTGGTCTCAACGACGATGCGGATGTGTGCTTCCCCACATACGATGAGAGCGGAAAAACCTCAATCATCGACTTCGAGGAGTTGGAGGAATTCGTGGCCCTTAGCAGAAGGAAAAGTCAGACCGTGCCCCGCAAAGTTAGCATGACTGCGCAGAGAAAGCGATCTCGCACCTTTCACGATTTACGACCTAGGTCGGAGGCTAGGGATATCCCCAAAATTGTCATGCGACCGTCCACCGCTGCATCCGTGGTCGACACTGCCGGTAGTCTTGAAAAGCAAATCAGCCATACCGTGGATGAGAAAGAAGTTAAAAATCTTCATAATGAGAACGAGCGTAACCGCTTCAGCTTCTTTTCATCCGAGTACCAGAACACAGTCCACGCATGTGAACTGGGTGGCCTCGTGCTTGAAGGAGAGACTTTCCGTGACCTGTTCCAGCTAGGTCCTGATGGTGGCGTATGGTGGCTCGACGTCCTTGATCCGACCAATGATGAAGTAGGAGCGATTTCGCGAGCTTTTTCCATCCATCCCTTGACTGCAGAGGATATCATGATGCAGGAAGACCGTGAGAAGGTGGAATTGTTCAAGCAGTATTACTTTGTCTGTTTCCGGACTTTTTACCAGATCGATAAACTCAGTGATGACTTCCTGGAGCCAATCAATACGTATATGGTTGTTTTCCGCGAGGGAATCATCTCCTTCTCATACACCGAAAACCCCCATGCGGGCAATGTCCGAAAGAGAATTTCGAAGTTGCGCGACTATGTGTCTCTTAGCAGTGATTGGGTTTGCTACGCAATGATGTAAGTCACAAGTCCATCAGCCACCTTTCCTGCTTAAAGGAGAAAATAGAAACACAAAGGAAACTGACAAGTTCTTACGCCAACAACAGCGATGACATCGTCGACAGCTTCGGTCCTGTCCTCCGCGATGTAGAGATCGAATCCGAAGTAATAGAAGACCAAGTTTTTATCGCGCGCGTCGAGGATTTCAACGTCTTCCTCCCCCAAATCGGCGGCCTGCGCAAAAAAGTCATGAGCCTCATGCGCCTCCTGGGCGGCAAAGCAGATGTCATCAAGGGATTCTCCAAGCGGTGCAATGAGCAGTACTCCGTCACGCCACGGGGGGACATCGGGCTCTACCTCGGCGACATCCAAGATCACGTCGTGACTATGATGTCCAACCTAGGCCACTTTGAGAAGATGCTCAGCCGCTCGCACACCAACTACCTCGCACAGCTGAGCGTGACGAACCTCATGATAGGCAACCGGGTGAACAAAGTGCTCAGCAAGATTACGTTCCTGGCGACGATTTTGGTGCCTCTCAATTTGATCTGTGGGTTGTTTGGGATGAATGTTACGGTCCCTGGACAGTCGGCGGAAGGGCTCGGGTGGTTCTTTGGCATTTTGGGAGTCATTGGGATGATTGTTATGGTTAGCTTGGTGATTGCGCGTCGCTATAAACTTCTATGACTTGTCCCCGTTCTCCCCTCGCCATCTCTCTCCCCCACTCCCCCCCCCTTTCACATACACATGCTTTATTTTTTTCAATTATCCAATGTAAGCTATTTTTTCCCACATATTATGTAAGGAAGAGTAGCAGCAATTTCCTGGGCTTTCCTTGTTCCGTTTCGCCTTCTTTGTTACTTAATTTCTTCCTTTCCTTCGTGTTCATTTAGTTATCTGTGGGTTACTTTTAATAAAGAAAAAGTTCATAACTCTTGCTTGGTTTATGAAATACCTAAGAAGAAAAGAATAGAATATCGTCAGCAAAATATCAGATGCAGTATATACCTCATTTGCAACATATGAGATAACTACTGTATATATTCTCCATGTTCAAGGAAACTCCATGTATTATCTAAATCTCACATTTTCTTGAAGATGCATACATTTCTTCAAATTTGCATTTCAGGTAAAGTACCTTTTGCATGGTGTATATAAATGCGAGTAAATTTGAGAAGTTGCATTGTGATGGTGAGGGCATGGTTGTCGTGAATCTATATTGCTTTCCCTCTTACGAAGAGCGAAATATTTTTTTCCATTCATATGTATGCAAGTATGAGTGTATATACACATGCGTGACACATTTAAAGAAGAATTCCTGCCTGTCTATGTACCGAGATGTCCTTATCTATCTATATACCTATGACAGTCACCGGAACGCCATACTAGTCCACGCGCCCAAGTCCAACCAAAAAAAAGGATAGAACAAACCCTTTCCATCCAGGGCTTTTTAAAATAAAGCATTCAAATGCTTCTGAGAATCATGCAACCTTCTGCTTCTTAAAAGTTATCCCACCATTATTAAGCCCCTTAGACCGCTCCTCTCTAGAGCGCTTACGCTCCATATCCTCCTTTATGATGCGCTCAGTGGCCGTGAGCGGTTTTGGAGGTGCTTCTACCTTTTTCTTCTTTGTAGCTGCTGCAAGGGCATTCTTCTTGGACGCTGCAGCGAAGACGTTTTTGGGCTTTGAGGTTGCGGTGCCCACCTTGAGGGATGTTGATGATCGGTCGGATTGTGTGGCTGATGCTGTCGTCGGTAATGTTGATTGGTTCGTCGTTGGCGGCGCGGGTGTTGTAGTTGATGGTTTTGAGGATGGAGATGAATTTTGAGCTGGGGATTGTTCGCCGCTCCTGTCGCCTGGTGTAGGAGCGGGCGCGGGCGCGGGCGCGGGCGTGAGTGCGGGTGAGGTTGTGTCCACTGGGGCTGGGGATGCAGAAGTGGATAAAGAGGAAGCAGCTCCCTTAGACGGCGCAAAGTTCAATCTTATCTTCTCCCCTTCAGTCGGCTGCCACTCTTTCGGTGCCGCATCCGCATCACCCTTCTGCGGAGGTTCCCTCCCTGCAATTTCCCTATCCCTCTGCGCCCGGCGCACCTGTTCCTCAATCATCCTCCGCTCCCTTTCCTCGTCGCCGCGATCCTGCATCTCCTTCTTCCTCAACGCATCTTGTCTCCTCAGCGCGTCAGGGCTATTATCAATCCACGAAATAAAAATTCCCTTTTCCCCCTCCTCAACCCTACAAATCCCCTCACGACCAAGGTATTTCGCAAATTCCGTCAGGCTCGGCCAGCGCGTGGCATTCATGTGTATGTGCTCTTTATTGGCGATGTATTCTTGGTAGAAGTGGTTGATATTGATAGCCTTCTCACCGTGGCTGGTGCGGAGCTGCTTGAGGAAGTCGGACAGGAACTCATTGGAATATTGCTGGATATATTTGCGCGGGTCCTCGCCGACAAGCAGCATTTGGCGCACATGTGATTCTGACTGCGTGTGACATTTGAAGCCGTTCTCGTCGCGCATCTGCCGCTCGCAAACCTGGCAGTACCATCGCAGACGTTGGAGGCCTTTGGACTTGAGCTTGTTGCTCAGGTACTTTGTGCTGCCGACTTCTGCGCGAGGCATGGTGGGCTAGATGGTTTCTGTGCCTTCAGCCCTGTTCTATTTTATCTTTGGCTCTCCTTTGAATCCCTGGGGAGAAGGGCTTCCATAAATAACCATGTGTTCAGTTCAACTAGAGTGGCGATGGCTTAGTCAGAGGGACCTGGTAACGGAATTATGTTCATCCGACAGCCGGCGACTTTTGATGCGGGAGGTGTTTGAGAGAACCGTGTGTTGAAGAGCAATATATCTCCATATTTGAGTTGGCTTCTCCGTTGGCTTATGTTGTCCCCAAAGGCCAACAATCTGCAGGCTTCTAAGCTGCTCAGCCGCTCGATATGCGACGAGGTGCATGCGCACAGGGCGGACGACTCACCTTGAATAGGCATCTGTTGCTGCATATTCCACATACAGGTCCTTAGGACCGAGCGCAGTCGCTCTCAGAGAAGGTTTTTACTATCCTATCCAGGATGCCGTGTCTGAAACTCTCACCCTTGCAATCGCGCTTCGTGGCCTCTCTAGCGGCCACCCTGTTCATCATCATCGTCCTCTATTTCGTTCTTTCGAACCCAAGTCTCGCATATGCTGTTGATGTCGACTCAATAATATCCAAAGACCCCAACCATCCCCGATTGCAGGATATCGACTTACATCTGGGCACTGATAGAGTAGCTCCAGAGACTATTGCAGCTCTGGACTTTGACCTTACCTCTGTTGGTACTGTTTCTGGTATCCAGCGACGAGCTCCAAATAATGCTGTTTCGTTAGGGAACAATGCTCCTGAGGAGGGAGAGTTGGATTTGGGGGCGACGCTTTATTTTTGGATTTCTGAGGACACTTTGGCTGGCCCAAAGTCGGGCCCTTCGCGGGGACTCCCTGGATTTAATGAGAAGGAGTTTCTAGATAGTGGTTTAATGGAACGGACGGAGTTGAAGCGGCGGAATGATACGCTAGTTAAACGAGCGACAAGAGTGTATATATCTGCAACCACTTGCTTACAACCTGCATTCAATGCTACACCAGATTCGCAGAACACGGGGCCACCACAATTACAGCTCAAGGTTTCCCCATCTACGGATATTCAACAGCCAGATCCCGGAGCTCAAGTCTCAAATTTGCAAGTCATAGACTTTGATGGCGGTTACGCGAGCACCGTCCTCGATGCTGTCGGGCCCATCTACATCTCAGTATCTGCGCCAACAGACAAAAGCTATTTCGGTTCATACAAATTTGAGATCGCAGCGTCTATTGACCGATTATTTCATGAAGCTGAATCTAACGTCCCTTATCTATTCTTCGTAGATAGTGATAGCGGATCTGCTTTGCTTCAGACCAAGGATGCAACCGACGCGAGCCCTGACGATGAAATTTACCAGCAGTGGATGAACCTTGATCCTCCACCTTTTACCATGTTTGCCCATGATATGAAGGATAAGTCGATTTTAGGCGTACAGAATTCCTATTGTGGACTGAAAGGCAATGCACAAATTCGCAAGGACGGCGATAATGTACAAGTCAGCATGACCAACAGGGGACAGAATCACAAACCAAAAGAACAGTTCTATATCCGAGGCCTAAATAGTAGTACATCCTATTACGGGTTTCTAGCAATGGAAGGCAACTCCACCGATTCTGGCAAAGGAGTTGTTGGCGGCGGCAGCAAAGTCTGGAGCCCCACGAAATTTACCACCAAGGCAGGTACGCTGATTTAACCGCTAGAAAATGAGATAGATGCGCGGAGTGTCCCCTGACATACCATCACAATATACTAACACTATATAACCAAAAACAGATAATAACTGTGCCATCTTACACAGCCTCGAATTCTGCTCCGAGGTCGCTTACGCCGTCCCATCCAATCCATCTATGTCCCTCGACGACCTCGCAAACTTCTACGACACCTATGCGGCAAACTTATACAAAAACTTCACACGCTCCCTCGCCCAAATCCCCTGCAACGCCTCTGCAAAATCCCAATACTCTCTCGTCCGCAACTGCACAGACTGTGCAGCTGCCTACCAACAGTGGCTCTGTGCCGTCACTATCCCTCGCTGCGCTGATTATTCCAGTACCCTTCCCTTTCTTCGCCCGCGCAACACAGCGCAGAAGTTCCCAAACAACACCGTCATCACTATCGACGATTCGCTGCGGCAAATGGTGCTCTCGAATTCATCCCGCAATCCGCTCATCGACGAGAAGATTAAACCGGGGCCCTATAAGGAGGTTCTACCGTGCCAAGATCTCTGTCACGAGCTTGTGCAAAGCTGTCCCGCTGCTCTGGGATTTTCGTGCCCTACCGGGAAGTGGTTGAATGAGTCCTACGGGATGAAAAGTCCCAACGGCGATATTACCTGTAGTTATTTCGGCGCGGCGTATTTCTTGAATGGGAGCAGTGGATTTGTAGGGGCAAGTTTCATGCTTAGGCTGGCCGGGCTTGTTGGGTTTTGGATGGTGTTTTGGATGGTGTAGATTTAAATTTTTTTTCACTGTTTCTTCCCTTTTTAACGGTCTATTTCAGCATTCATCGCTGATTGTGGTGTAAACGAAACTTGTATTTTATTTTAATGCAAATAGAGAAGTGGCAGATATAAGATATAAAAGGGTTGGATCATTATTAATGTTTATAATTCCTGGGCTTTCTATAACAAGCTCTCTACTCCCGTTTTTTAGCTACTTGCTTGAACACGGGAGTAGTAATATTTCACAAGTGCAGTTGGCTATGCTTTTGCTACATTGGTCTCCATTTTTCATGTCCATTCATTTTGATCATTTTACGATTGCGCACAGAAATTGAGAGAAACTATTCTTCTCCAGGTCTAGGTCCATATGCATACGACTTTTATCTAAACTACCGCCGCTCGTTTTATAAAACGATACGTTTGTAAGTTAAGTCATAATAGCTATATAAAAATAAAATGGTATGATATGAAGATAGTACGAGGAGAGAATATTTGGGAGCTTTTATCACATAAATCAATTGACGAGTTACATTCCGACGAAGATAGCCATAGATGCATATACTTTCGCATAATTTCATAAGAGGGAGTCATATAAGAAAAGCTCTACCTCGTTGATAACCTAATATAAATACACTGTATAGATGTATAGAGCACAGTGCTAATTGATAACGAATACATGGTACATCAAACCTTTCCAAACCGATTCCCATCCAGCCATCCCTCTACTACATAGGGGAAAAATGGTTAATACTTAGAGAAGATATAAAAATAGCCGGTAGACTATAACCAGCCCCACAAAACGCCGAAACAAAAAGAAATAAAGATAAAAATCCCCATTCTACTTCCTTCTTCGGGGTCTCAAATATCCTTCGACCCCTCCTCAGGAACCCCCCGGCGTCCCGGCGTACTCCCCACAGCAGCCCACAGCCTCTGTGCCGCCGGTGTCAGCGACGCTTTACTCAATCCCTTACCGCCAAGAACACCAGGCGTCCGACCACCTGACCCCGGTGTCTTCCCAAACGCAATCATCGGGCTACTGGGAAACTTTGGCACAGGTGTCCGGACATCTTTTCCTGAGCGCTCCGCGCGCTTAATAGTCGCAACACGCTCGACCATGCGGTGGTGCAGGAGTTCGCGACGACGATTTTCGCGGATGGTGAAGGGGTTTGGTGTTGCGGAGCTGGAGGTGTCGATGTTCATTTTTAGGAGGGAGAGGTGGTAGGCGGAGTTATCCTCGTCATCTGGAGGTTGTGGGGTTGGTTCGTCTTCATCTACGAATGCAAAGCCATTCACGCGGGGTGTTTCGGCGCCTGTGTAGCCTGGTTCGGAACCGGTGGAATGCGGATGGCCAGCGATTGCATCGCGGATTGCGGAGAGGGAGGGAGATGGTGGGATGGCGTTGCTATTATTTGCGCTCCCATCCGGTTTCGGCGGGGTGTGTTGGACGCGAGTATTGTTGTATATGACCTGTTTGGGACCGGCGCGGGATGTAGATTCTGCCCTTTGTGCAACGGTTTCGTGTGTGTCTTCGACAGAAGAAGGGATAAACATAAGAGAGTTTTCAGGCTTAGAGGCCCAGGCATCCGGTTGGGCAGGGCGGGCATCTTGATCGGTTGTGATAAGTTGAACTTGTTTGTTATTTTTATTACTGACACCTTCGCTTTCCGAAACAGACGCTGAAGCAGAGAGCGAGAGGGAAGTAGAAGAGGGAGAAGAAGAAAGAGGAGGGGGAGGGAGCCTCTTCGTCCTCTCTGCCTCTCGCTTCCTGAAGGCGATCTGCCTAGGTGTCAAAATCTTATTTCCGTTCCACATCCACGCATACTTCTGCCTCTTCTTGACATTCTGTTTATCAAGCAACTTATTAAATGACTCGTTGTCTTCACTGGTATATTTCGACTGGAACATCGAAAGGCTCATATTCCGTACATCCACCATGGAGTCTCGACCAACAGTGCTCCCGTCCTCACTTCTTGAATTTATCGAGGTCGTCGAACCAGCCGCAGACAATGGTGTATCACCACCAGCCCACTTACTACCTCCTTTGGGGGTCGCACTCCCCGATCTCTCGAACCTCGTAGCGGTAGCGCTGGCACTCCTCCTTCCACTAGCATCGATCCGTGGTGTCATCACAGCCTCCAAATTCTTTCCCGCACGCTTGATCCACTCTTTATCGCGCGACTCCAAGGCATCCAGGTATTCTCGCTGGGTTTGGGTCTCCAGCAGCCCAGGGAAGAAGTCACGGGCGATGATGTGAGACAGAGCGTCGGTATATTCATCTTCGTCAAGGACGGTGGCGGGACGTTTTATGCGTTTAGGTAGGGGCGGTGGGGCCATCATGAGAGCATCTGAAGCGGAGGACGGGCGCTTTATGAGGGACTGCGATTGTGGGCGGGAGGGAGAAGTGGAAGGAGAGGGAGAGGAGGTGGTCGTGACCGGGGTCGAGAAGGCCATGGTTGTTAGATTGCCGTTTGCTGGATTATACAGGGAGATATAAGGCAGAAAAGTGTAGTTGGAGGCAGGTAAAGAGAACTGCTACTAAGACAAGAAATGATTCATTGCAGTATGCATGTAGGACCGATAATAAAAAGCTATAACTACGAGTAGTTGTAGTTGAGCGATTCCTGTGACGTATTGTATGAGGACAATTTCCAAGTTGAAAATGATGTGGCAGAAGATTTTTGTCACGTGGCAATGAGGCTGAGAATAAGCTTCGTTCCCGAAAGTTTATTTCCAGTCTCCGCCAAACCAGGCTCAAGATATACCATGAAGTATTATTTTTACCATTCTTCTTCCTCTCAAATCTAGAATCATTGATGGAACTAAATAGGAAATGTATTTAAGATAGCAATTCTGAGAGCACTTTTAATATCCAAATATGGAATGGGTAGAGTGTTCTGAGCTGTCGCGAAGTAATGGCCATCTCAGGGCCCTTGATTGCTTCTGCCACGACATTATGACTAGCATCTAACCTTTATGTTATTTGAAGAACAAAATATTACCAGTTGCTCTTAACTCTTGATGCGATGGATAATCATCCCCCCCTTTTTTGTTTTTCGTCTTCCTTCCACCTCCTTCTTTCCTTTTTAATTTTTAATTTTTAATTTTTTTTGAAGAAATGATAATCAAGCTCATGGCGACCTGAACGGATATAACAAGGGATGAATGCCCCTTGAAACGTACAGATTTAGTCGGTCCATCGGCAACGGATAACATAAACAGTGTCTGGCTACGTCTTTCCGTGCCGTTCACACCCGGGCCAGGAGGCTATGGCAAATATTTCGAGATTGCAATCTGTACCGTGCTGTTAATCAGTACGTAATTTGCTTTCAAACACGGCATATCTGGTTAATGGGGGACACGGTATTTATTGTACCCGACATACTTCAAGGTCAGCACTCGGGTATCATTGGCTTATCTAACTCTCAACACCTCTTGTTTCAAATTCAAGTCAACAGGCCAAAATTAAATACTGCGGGGAATCAGCGAAAGCAAGGCAGATGTTTGAAATTTGAAATTGGGCTGCTTTGAAAATGGGAGATGGAGCTGTTAACGAGAATTATGACCAGTTTTGCATTGGTGGAATTTTAATAAGCTGTTCCACAGGATTTCACGCTGGACTTTAAAATGAAATTGCAGCTGTCACAACGAAGTTCTATAAATTTATCTGGCTGACCGATAGCCGCGAACCGGGGTAAAATGGGTGGATGTTTCAAGACTGCATATTCTCGTACTCCAGAATGAAACTTCTAGCGGTCAACTTTCGAAGGCCAGGCCATTTAAGCTGTGGTACATCTCTTAAATTAGCAAATAACTTGCACCATCCAACAGTAGATACAGCAGCTTAAAGTCGTCAGTATCTAATTGACCTTACAGAATAGTTTGATTATGCACTCTTTTCCAAGAATATGGATACTTAGGATGTTTTGCCATCATCCTTTGTGATGCCCCGGTAAGCGCTTTCCCGCCTACTCAGCGCGTCTTCATAATTTAAGCTCGTTCAACATTCCATCAGGGCCTTGTGTTTCTGAGCCAATGGGCTCTGGTGCTGTTCCTGCATCCGTGCCAGGTAGGGATGAATAATTATCTTGTCGGTATTAGCGATCTTTCAAGTTCTGTCATAGAACAGGCCATTGAAGCAAGGTGAGAGCTTCGGCTGGTGACATTGCTGTCACATCCAGAAGCATGGCTCACTCGTGCTTTCGAGTATTTTCTTTCTATTAGTTAAAATATACATTCTCCATTCCATTTCGAAGGTTTACAGGAGCGAGCCGCTGACGACATATAGGCAAGATCGGAAAAATCCAATCGTTCAAATGTCGAACTGGGGAAATTTGGTACACCCCGGCTATGCAAGAAGCCATTATTATCCCTGGCAGTGGAAGAATCATCATCTTCTGTAGCAAGGCTGTTTAACGAAAAAATACTTCTCAAACCAAATATCATGCAAGTTGTAATATTTTGCTTGCACTGCTCTAACTGGATATCAAATGGGAAGCTCGCTCGTTGAGCCAAGTAAATAGAAAGGGCCTTCAATAGCCCAAATTGGTGAAATATCTCGGCT